GCATGGATAGCTGAGCTGCCCTCCAATCAGCACAGGACCACTCAGTGGAGACTGAGTCAGGAATACAGAACTGCAGGGGGTACAGTTTACCGAAAAGACTCAGGTCCAGACCAGAGTTTATACACAGCCCAGGTGTACCGGATGTCATAAGACCTGGAAGTACTTACAAAGTCACTAATTAAAATCTGAGCTGCACAAAAAGCCTTCCCCAGGGAATCAACAGCAAAGCAGCAATTTAGCTCAACCACAGAGCTCAAGTGCTGGTTTCTACAGGAAGTTCCCCTATTTTAGAAGTAAGCAAAGGACAACAAATTAGTTCCAGTGCATGGTTTAAGTGGTGGGGGTAGCTAATAATCCAACACAGAACTGGAAAAAAACCCAAAAAACCCCACAGATCAGAGAAAAATTCTGATGTTAACCAGTAAAGGTCTAACGCTACCAACGAACACCTATAAAACACCTATAATACCTAGAAGGACTGGTAGACTCCCAGAATCCCAAGCCAGGGTGGAGGGAGGGCTGAGGGCCTCAGTCATGCCCCCAGACATTGGCATCCAGCCCAGTGATGACCACTGAGCTGCCGCTAGAAGCACCCCAGGCTCCTGAGCCTAGGCAATGGGGGGCCAACAGCCTCAGCTATGCCCCCCTGAAATCTGCATCCAGCCCATCCACGACTGAACCACTGCCAGAAGCCCTCTGGGCTCCCCTGCAAGAATGAGGGGGGCACCACGGGCCTTGACCAAGCTCCTCTCCTCCCACCCTATCCCCCTCCCCCCCACTGCTCCACAACATCTTAGAATGTAAAAATAATAATAATAAATAAACATATTTTTTAAAAAGGAAAAAAAAAATAGAACAGCATTTAGTCTAGTGTAAATTTTCACCACTATGGCAAAACCTTTTTACTCTGAGGTCCAATGAATTGAGGTCTTTCACTCTGGCTGCTGGGAATATGCACTTTTCCTGGTCCTGTGTAATCTCTGGACAGTGTTCCCTGTAAGCTTTTCTTCAGCCAGCCTTGGGTTACAGTTGTCCCTTAGTATCTGTGGGGGATTGTTTCCAGGACCCCTCGCAGATATCAAAATCTGAGGATGCTCAAGAGTCCCTTATATAAAAGTCATATTTACATGTAATGTATGCAAATAATTGTTATTTTGTATTCTTTTCTATTGTTGTACTTTTTTTCCCAAATATTTTCACTTAGTGGTTGAATATGCAAATGCAGAACCATAGATACTGGGGGGGAGGTGGGGTGTCCTAGTATAGTTTTCTCACATACATGCACTGATGAGTATGCCACTGTATACTCAAGAGGGACCTCATGTGCGTCTCCAGAGTTTTCTCTGTGTAGCCCTCTCCTCTCTGATACTCTGCCTTGAAACTCTTGCTGCTTTAGCTTTGTTGAATTCTCAGATCTGTCTCCTCAACTCAGAGTCACTACCGGTCTCTGCCTGGGTTCCCCTCCTTGCACCACACCCTGAATATCTTCTCTAGTCAGCGAGCTGGGATAATTATTCCACTTATCTCATTCGCTTCCTGTCTCTCAGAATTCCCTGTCCTTAGTTGATTATTGTGCAATGTGTTGAGACCCATTGTTTCATATATTTTGTCCAGTTTTCTTTTTAGCAGCAGGTGGGTATGGGGATCCAAACCCTTGACTTTAGTGTGGTAACACTGCACACTAACTAACTGAGCTAACCGGCCAGCCCTTGTCCAGTTTTTTCACTGTTTCGGGGAGAAGGGTATATCTGGCACCTGTTACTCCATCTTGGCCAAAAAGGGAAGTCTCTAAGGATATATATTACAGTTGCTTTGAAGTTCTCTCTTTATTCTCTGTTACCTCAAGTACCTTTATTCTGTTTTTTTTGTTGTTGTTGTTGTTGTTGTTCCTGTTTTTGGTTTCTTTCTGATTTTCACATAAGCTTTCTTCAGATGTCTGTCTCTTAAGAGTAAGGTACTAAAACAGCTGGTTGGAACCTCTGTATAGGTAGGGCAAAGATTGCTGCTTATGTCCCCAATATTGATTTTCTCCTCTCTTAAGAACACAATTGAGTTGAAGATGGTATTGTGCCCCACACACACATGCACGCGTGTGCACACACCCACACACCCACACACAAGCAGTTACATTTTCCAGTCTCGCATGCTGTGTATAGTTGTGGCCATATGTCACAGTTCTAGCCAACAAAATGTAAGCAGATGTCATTGGGTGGGACTTCTGGGAAAGTCCCCAGAAAGGAAGAGACCTGCAAAGGAAGAGTATCAGTTATCTGCTGCAGAATAACAAACCACCCCAAAACATAAATATTTAAGACATCATTATTTACTCATGATTCTGCAATTTGGGCTGGTCTTATCTGGGTATTCCTGGGGCCATTAGTCTGGCTGGGTCATATGGTAGCTCAACTAGGGCTTGATGGTCCAAGATGGCCTCCTCGGATCTTCTTCTCATAATCTCTCCAGTGGAGGAGCGTGGCCTCCTGTTATGGCAGTAGCAGCATTCCAAGAGTGCAAGCCTCATGCACATGTGCTTATCCAGCCTTTGTTTGTGTCACATTTGTTTATATTCCATTGGCAAACAAGTCACATTGCCAAACCGAAAGTCAATGTGGGAGAGGATTATGCAGTTCTATAACTGAGTAGTGAAGCAACCTATTGCCAGTCAGGGAAGCATCACAGTTGTCACGTATGGGGGCAGTCCTATAAGTGGTCAAGGAGATAGCTTTTTGGTAAGCCTGGAAGCAGCTATAATACTACTAGCTCAGTATGGGACCCCTTAGAACATACCAAAATTCTAGTGCTCAGAGAACAATCCCATATAGTAGCTAGTTGGGAACTTTTCTATATATAATCCCCAAGCCTTTAATTAAGTGTTGACAAATATTAGCATGGTATTAGCATGGTGTATCCATGAGTAATAGAGAAAAAAATTATCCCCACCAATAGGATCTATTGACGGTAGCTCCACACAGGCCCTAGAAAAATCATGGTCCAGGAAATGCAACAATTTGAACAATGGGCCAAGTGGTACTGATTAGCCTGGAGCGAGATGGTGATGGAAAAAAGAAAGGGCTGGGGCAAGGAATGATTCACACTAGAATTGCAACACCACCAATCCCAAGGACTCCCAGAAGCAATTGAAAAAGACTTTGATGGAGGAGGGAGGTTAAAGTTCTTAGGTCTTAGTGCATCGAGTAATTTTGGATCAATATCAAAAAACAAAAGGAAATTGTTGTAGACTAAAAGAGAGACTAGAGCTGTTTTTCTCAAACTTCAATGAATTTTAGAAATATCTGGGGGAGACTTTAAAAGCCTAATGGTCAGACCACATGCCAAAATAAATTAGAACCTCTAGGGATGAAGCCCAGGCATCATATTTTTTAAAGCCATCCAGTTGATTGATTCCAATATGCGGTCAAGGTGAGAACCACTGAACTAAGGAAACCTAACAACCAAGTCTAATGTGTGAACTTTGTTTGAATCCTAGGACTTATAAAAAATAAGGCTATAAAATACGTTTGTGAAACAACTGTCAAAATAGAGATTACATTTAATATTTTAGATTTGTTAACTTTTTTAGAAGTGAAAAGGTGATCATGTAGGAGAAAGTCCTTATTCTTAGGAAATGTGAGCTGAAGTGTTTAGGTGTAGGGGAGTGTCATAAAATCTGCAACTTACCTTCAAATGGTTCAGTAAACAATTATATATGTACATGTGTATGGAGAGATAGCAAACTTGTCAAAACAGTAATAAGGTGGATCTAAGTGAAAGGTTCACCTTTTCTGCAGATTTGAAAACCTTCCATATAAAAAGCTGGGGGAAAGTTAATTTGAGGAATTAACGTATGAACATTGGTACTTATAAGCAGATGAAGTCCCACTTGGAATCCCACCTGAGATTATTAAACTTCATGGAATCATGCATATCTGCACCCAGGTGTGACTAGGGTAAGGCCAGTCAGATGCCTACTCCTGGTCCTGATCTGCACAGTAAATTAATTTCTGCCCCTAGGATTAGAACAAATAGGTGATTAGGACAGGGATCATGCCAGTGAAGAGGACTGATCACCCCTGGTTTCGGGTAGACTAGTGAATTGTCATTGGCCTGAAGTTAATGAGACTCTATAGCAGTGTTTTTCAACCTTAACTGAACAATGGAATCATCTGAAGGAGATTTAAAAAATATTCTTGCCTGGGCCCCACCTCTAGAGATTCTGATTTATTTCAGGGTTGTATGACCTAGACAGTGGCATGTTTAACTCTCCCCATATGATTCTAATGTTGAGAACCACTGTTCTACGTACTGTCTTATACAACCTGAGCAACTATAAAGGGATTGGTAAGGTTCTCAGGGACAATAGGTATGTGGTCTCACCAGAGTTGGAAGAGACTTTTTTTTTTTCCTTTTTGTCTTTTTTCGTGACCGGCAACGGGATCGCAACCCTCGGTGTTGCGTCCGCACCGCGCTCAACCAGTGAGCGGACCGGTCTCTATATGGGATCCAAACCCTTGGCGGGAGCGCCACCACACTCCCAAGCGCCGCACTCTACCGAGTGCGCCACCAGGCCGGCCCTGGAAGAGACTTTTTAATTATCATTTGAGACACACAGAGATTCTAGCAACAGGAGGAGCCAGGAAAGAGTTCTAATACCATGGAGACAGGACTTTTTTCTCAAGAGTGGGGCAGTATATTAAAAATACTTGGGCATAGGGGCAACACAACAGCCCTAAACCTGGAGTTCCCAAAGGGATGAGCTGAATCACTATTGTAAGTTGTAAGCATTAGAGATGACTGCCCAGCCTTTAGAAGAAATTGCAAGGTACCGAAAACTAAAAGCATCCTCAAGGACTCAGGCTCCAAGCCCAAAAAAGAGGTTTTTGGACCTTGGTTGAAACGTGCCACAGGGATACCACAGGAGGGAAAGGTTCAAATGGTTTGTAAAAGGTCTGGATAGACACAGTGGTTATCTCAGTAGGGCGCAAAGCCAGGTTCCTGTGGGTACATATAGTCTCTCCTGAGTGGGAGGTTATTTCCAGATCTGTCACCACAGAAGCAAAGTTCCAAAGGAAAAAGAAAAAGTGAGGGAGAATTGCGTAGGCTGTAGGGTGACCGACACTTCCCAGTTTCCCTGGGACTTTCTGAGTTTGGGTAATGGAAGTCCTGTGTTCCGGGAAACCCTTCAGTCCCAGACAACCCAGAATGGCTGGTCACCCTACTAGGCAGGCAGGAAAGGGAGCCATCTATGTTGGACCCGGCCTTAGAGAAGGATGAATGTCTACACACGTCCTACTTAGAGTTAGGTACTGTGTTAGGTTGAGAAGCAGAACTGAAATGGAGAGTCTCGTGCAAGTGGTTTATTGAGGGAGTGCTCTTAGGAGAAGTGGAGCAAGGAAAGCAGGGTAGGGCAGAGGAGGAAAGCAAAGCAAGAATGTGCTCTCAGATGAACACTGACTTCAGCTTGATTCCACGGGAAGCTTTTGTACCTTCATACGGGAGAGGTGGCAGTTCTTTTTTAGAGCAGGACTTAAAATTAGAGTGCATCAGAACCAACTGGAGGCCTTGGTAAGCCAGATTGCTGGGCCGTCCTCCAGAGACAGATTCAGTAGTTCCAAGGTGGGGCCTGAGAATCTGTATTTCTAACAAGTTTCCAAGTGATGCTGATGCTGCACTTTGAAAACCACTGATCTAGAGAAGAGGACAGTTGTGAGGCTAAAGCAGCCAGCACACAGCGAGTGGTAAAGGAGATCTGGGAAGCATATACTCCAGGTACTAACTTGCATATTCCTTATGAAGGCACAGGCCAGGTCTAGATGGACTGAACCACATCTGGGGCTGGGTAGACTACATCTTTAGGTCGTGCTATCTAGATTCATAGCATCCTGTAATTTTCCTCTTATCTCACATCTCCTGCCAAAGCATTGTTGAAGCATTCTAACTTATCTCCGCCTTGTTATTGGACTTCAAGAGAAGGGTCTGGCAGGTATATGAGGCTTTGAAGAGGGAGCCGCTGCAACTCGCTAGGCAAGTACAGTGGAGTCAGTTCCAATGAATGGGAAGTCCTCGAATCGGGGATAAATATTTGGGAGCAAGGCTCTAGACACACCTTGGAAGTCGTCTGATGTTTGCTTCTGAAATTAAAGATGGCTTTTGATGGCAACTTTTAATTACATAAGCCCCACCAGAGTTCATAGTCCTGCCTGCCTGTGGGGATCACCACCAGGTGAAGGTGAATTTATAGAAGCAATGGCTGATCTTGACCCAGAATGTCTTCTCTGAGTAGTGCTGAAAGAACACCTTGTACCCCTGAGCCTCAATGTCCATCTTCACGCAGTGCAGGAGGTCGGTGGTGTCTGGGGCCGCCTTCCAGGGCCCGAATTTGACAACCGACTTCTTGTCAGCCTCCAGGGCCCGCAGGGGCTCCGTGCAGCGCGCCTCCTCCTCCTCAGTGCGCACCACGCAAACCAGCACCCTTGACTCACGCGCTGCCACAGCTTCGGCGCGTGCCAGGCGCACCAGGAGCTCCAGGTTCTCGTTGTAGCCAGGGACTCGCAGCAAAAACTGCTTCCGAGCCACCTGTTCACCGAAGATCTGCGGCATGTCCTCCAGGAGCTTGACCAAAGGCTTGATTTCGTAGAACTGAGCCTCACGGTACACCTCCGGGATGTGCTGCGTGGGCAGCTGCCCGCTGCGCAGGTAGTCCAGGATGGGTCTGAAATATGTGCCTGAACGATCGATGAAGAAGCGGCCCTCTGCATCCGTGCAGGCCTTGACTGAGCTGGAAAACATCTCTGCCAGCATTGAGCCCGGGCATTTTCTCAGGGTGCCCACAGTGGTGGTGTAGAATTCGCCCCCCACGTTCAGTTCCACAACGGTAGATATCTGGGACACAAGAGGCAGAGTGAACCAACAGTGCCACCACCAGGGAGCTCAAAACTTATTTTCATCCAAAGAATAACCTGGTACAGAACTTAGGGAAGCCATAATGATTGGCTTCAGCTATTGAAAGGCCCATCTTACTGAAGGGGGTTATATTTATGCTGTATAACTCCAGAGGGTGGGCATTTTAAGGAGCGAAAAGACTTCAGTTTGAGACAAGAATACCCATTCAAGCACTTAAACTTTCTCCTTTAGGTCACAGAATGTTAGGAAAGGAAGCTGGCATGGAAGGAAGTCCCAGTGATATTACTTCTAAAGTCTGTGGCCTTTGACAAGCATTTTTCCCTCCCTAGGCCTCAGTTTCCACATCTATAAAATGGGGATATGAAGTTGTTGTGAAGTCAGGAGCTCCCAGCTTGGGATGTTCAGATCTAAGATATAGTAAAGGGGAGGAGGGGAGCCAGAGAGAGCATTTGCAACATTTCAGAAAGGATGAAGAAACCATACATGTATCCATTCAGGAAGCATTTCATGAGTACTTACTGTGTATCCACATCCTGTACCGGGACATGGGGACAAAAATTCTTATTTCACATAGATCAGAAGTTCTGATTAGCAGTTGGCATGTCCTTGATTGTTTTTTTTTTTCATGGAATTTGTTTGATGGATGTTGTTCAAAATATGGGCTCATGGGCCGGCCCTGTGGCGCACTGGATAGTGCGCCGCTTGGGAAGCGCGGCGGCGCTCCTGCCCGAGGGTTCGGATCCCACATACAGACCGGTTCCCACTCACTGGCTGAGCGAGGCGTGGGAGCAACACCGAGGGTTGCGATCCCGTTGCCGGTCCCGGTCCGGTACGGGGGCGACACTGAGGGTTGCGATCCATTGCCGGACACGGAAAAAGACAAAAAAAAAAAAATATATATATGGGCTCATGGGGCTTAAATAATAATAGGAATATCTTCGGTGGTAAAAAGGCCAGTAACACTACATTCAGTGGGTGCAGAACTGCTTCATAAACTGTGAAGTATGGTACAAATGTAAGTTAAATTTAGCCATTGAACAGAATTTTTAGAGGCCACCTCTCTGTGCCAGACCCTGGAATGAGCACTAAGGATGCAGGTGAGAGCAGGTGCCTGCCCTGAGATGCTCACATGCCAGTGGGGGTGGGGACATGGAAACAGACTCAAGCTGCATTCAGAGAATACTTGGTGCTACTGCAGAGACCCAACACAAATGCCAGAAGACCATATACTGATTATTACATAGGAGGTGATACACCAGTTGCTATCTGTACAAACCAGCCTCCTGAACAACTTTCCATTATTTAAAATTCACTCACTCATTCAGTAAAATATGTATGTGCCTACTTTGTACTTTGTGCCAGGTACCTGGGACACACTGATGAACAAGCAAGACATAGACCCTACCCTCACAGTCTAGTAACTGTGCACAGTGCTTTAAATGCATTATCTAATTCAATCCTCATAATACTCTTATGAAGTATGTATTAAATCCCCATTTTACAGGTGAAGAAACTAAGTCTTAAGGAGATGAAGTAAATTGCTAATGGTCAATCAACTATTTAGTGATGATGTCAGAATTTGAACTCAGGTCCATTTTACTCCAAAGCTTGAGCTCTCAGTCTCAATCAAAGATAGAAGGGATTGGCTCTTTTTGCAGACGTGTTGGAGGTTGTCAGAGAAGGTTTCCTAGGGGATGTGATGGCTGCTGCAGAAAAGATCTATGTGGTATATGAGGGAAGGCTGGATTTCCATGGGTCATTGCAGGGCCAGGGATGGGGCAGGGCTCAGGAATGTCCTTCAGTCTGATTTAGGTGTGACTTTATTCTCAGCTGGTCTGTGGGCTCTACCTCTAAGATTAAAATACTGGAATACAGAAAGTGAAAGGCAACCAAACTACTGGGGAGAACTGAGTTGCCTTGGCAACATCTCCTTCCAGGGGACAGTTCTGCTGGCAGGAGGGGAGAGAAGGCAGAGGAGAGGATGTATCCTGACAGCAGCCAAACAATAGAGCCAAGAAAAGTAAGCCCAGGGCCAGCCCGGTGGCGCACTGGATAAGTGCCCCGCTTGGGAAGCGCGGCGGCGCTCCCTCCGAGGGTTCGGATCCCACATACAGACCGGTTCCCGCTCACTGGCTGAGCGAGGTGCGGGTGCAGCGCCGAGTGTTGCAATCCCGTTGCCGGTCCCGGTCCGGTACGGGGGCGACACTGAGGGTTGCGATCCATTGCCGGACACGGAAAAAGATAAAAAAGACAAAAAAAAAAAAAAAAGAAAAGTAAGCCCAGAACCTATGGCTCCTTCTTTCTCCCATAAACCTCAAGGCCCCTTGGCAGGGCTGTTTGGTTAATGCTGAGGTCACCTCTGTAAAGCAGGCAGTTAAAGTGAAGTTGCAGACTTAACCCTTGAATGGACCAATACGTTCTCATTATTCCTATCCACTAAAAACTCACAGGCCTTCCTAATGTCCCCATTGCACAGGCAAGGAAAGCTCAGAGAGAAGAGTCACACAGCTAGGAAGTAATGAAGTTGGAGCTGGGATCAAACTTATATCAGTATGATTCCAGTACAGTATGTATGTTCTTCCCCTCCCCCTGCCCACACTCTGCCCCACTGCTGCCAATAATTAGCTATGTGCCTGGGGCAGTTCACTTTCCTTCTCTGGGTCCAAACTCAGTCACCTGAGAAACAAGGAGGCAAAATGGACAAAGAGAAATCCAAATTCCTCCAGCTCTGAAAGTCTAATGAATCCAATCACTTCACATGTCCTTTCTGAAGCTAATTTTCAGATGCTTTGCAAAATAGCTTCCTTCCCTGACATCTTCAGCTCTTCTTTATTTATCAAATAAGACCCCAGCCCCCTTTCCAAGCTTCTTAATTCTGTCCCTCTTTTCTCTCCTTTTCTCCAAACTCCCTATCTCTTTGCAAATCCCATACCTCCTGCCTCATCCATAAATACTGCCATACGTGTTTCTAACAGATAGACTTCTTTCCCATTCCTCTTCAGGACCACCTGCCCTTCCTCATGGCTCCACTTCCCCATCTTTACTACCAGTCATCCTGCCAAAGGATTCCTAAGTGGAAGGGAAAATCATCCCAGGCCCTGTGGGCACAGGCTAGGGAAGACATGGTCTTTAGGAGCCCCTGCTGGGTGCCAGGCCAGTGCTGGTCATGAGGACACAGGAATGAATCAAGCCCAATTCCCACCCAGTTCCATCCTAAAGGGTCCCTACACATCGGCACCTCCCCACAAATATTCCTATTTCCTTAGGTCACCCTCAGCTGAGTCGATGGAGGGACATCTCCATTCAGATGTCCCCCAAGCCTCTCAAGATCTCTCCCACCCCACAACCCTGACCTTTTCCATTGTTCTCTATCTCAGCTGTCTGAGCCAGAAACCCAGAGTAATCTTGCATTCCACCCCCGCTCTCAACCTGCCCACATGCATAATCAATCACCAAGTCCTGGCAATTCTATCTGCCTGGATAGTTCCATGGCTCCCCACCCCCTCTAGTGCCCTCTCCCAGTCCATTCTCCACTCTGAAATCAGAGTAGCTTTTCTGAAGTGCAAATCTGCTCATCACTCTCTGCATTAAACACCAGAGTGACTCTTCATGCCCTTCCAGGTAAACCCTAGACTCCTTAGCAAGTTTTACAAGGTCCTTTGCAACTGGGCTGCTGCTTGCCTCTAACAGTCAACTACCAGAACCACCTGCTCCTCCCCGCCTTCCCCCCCAAGACAGAGCAGGCTGAGCCCACCTACCTCCAGGACTTCACTCACTTGCCTCCCACACTCCCTTCACTGAGCCCACTCATCCTTCAAGCTAATTCCTCTAGTACTTCTTCTGGATGGGTTGTCTCCTTGTGATCCCAGAGGGCCCTCCCTGTACATCCACTGTCATGGAAATTCCTCTCCTGTAATTCCCTGTTTCTTCATCCCTATCCCCCATTAGACTGTGAGGTTCCTAAGGGAGGGACTATCCCTGTCACTGGTACCTAGTACAGGGCTCAGGACACCAGGATGCTCAATAAATGTCTGTTCAATCGAATGGAGCTTACTCTCAGCTGTGATTTACAGGAGCACCCGGTATTCTGTTAAAGGCCAATCTTGCCCTAGTTGGCAGAGTGCACAGTGCTGGCTCCGTCCATCACCCTTGTCTGGTAATTCATTCAGGTATTTATTGAGAACTTAGGGAGGCCCTGGCACGGAGCAGGTGGTTTTGTCAATAGCCAACCACAATGACGTTAACATCGCCCTATCGGAAAGAGCCACATTCTCCCCACTGCTGGATTGCTGGGTCTGCTTTCCCTTCCTCCATGTCTTCAGGAAGGCGCTTAGTCCAGAAGAGAACCGGAATCTTCTCATCCTCCAGTGCACCCGGCCTTTTCCTGATTTTCCTCCCAGCAAGCAGGGGGACTCGGGACCCAGACAGAGGGCAGGGGCAGGCTGCAGGTGGCGGGGGCTGGGGAAAGGAAAGGACAGGGGAAGAGCCGCGGACTAGGGCAGGACAGAGGCCTGAGAGAGGAGCTGGAACAAAGACCGCGTGCACGGGGACAGACAAACGACGGCAGCAGCGAAAGAAAGAGGGGGAAGAGGAGAGGCTGGGCACGGCCGAACAGGGACGGCGAGGGGAAAAGAGAGCCCCGGCCAGAGGTACGGGAGACGCGGCCCGGAGGGAGGCAAGGGCGAGAGAAGCTGGCAAGGAGTCAGAGAAGACCGAGGCGGCGGGAGAACCCGAGCGGAGCGGCGCGGGGACGAAGCGGGTCCCCAGCCCGCCCGTCCACCCGGGGCCGCGCACTCACCGTGGGCGGGCCGGGCCGCAGGGACCGGGGCGCCGTGCTGAGGCTCATCCTCCCGGTCCCGCCGGCGCCTCGCACTGCACTGCCCTGCCGGGCACAGACACCTGTGGCCGGCGGAAGTGCGCCTGGCTCCCCGCCCCCGGGGTGGCAGCAGCTGGGCCCGGGCGGGACGCGCCGGGGCGGGGCGGGGCTTGCGGTGAGACCCTAGGAGGGTCCCTGCCTCTCTCTGGGCTTCGGGCTCCCCGAGAGTCCGACAGGGAAGGCAGAGGAAATTGACATCGACAGCCAGAGACTTTCTACTCCCTACAGCCCTGGGGGTGAAAGATAGCCATACCCATCTCACAGATGAGAAAACCGAGGCTCCGGGAGGTAGGGTAGCCCGTGTGGACTGTCTATCCCTCTCGGGGCAGCTGCTAGGAGTGTGAAGCAAGGCCAGTGGTGAAGAGAGCAAGGTATCTGTATCTTATTTCCCTGGTTAAAATGTAACTCTCAAGGAGGGGGAGCGTAATTCCCCCAGTCCTTAAGTGTGGACTGTGCATAGTGACTTCTTCCAAAGAGCACAGCATGGGAAGGGGGAGAAAGAGAAGTAATTCTGCAGAGTTCTTCAGCCAGTTGATCAAGGTCGACATCAACAGTTATAAATCATGAGGATAGTATGGACCCTCGATATAATGTGATGAATATGATCTTTTTCCCAAAAACCCACAACCCCACCCAATCATGCATCAGACAAATTCCAACAGAGTGAGTTCCTACAATATAACTGGCCAGTATGCCTCAACACTGTCAAAGTCAACAAAAACAGGGAAAATCTGAGAAACCGTCACAGCCAAGAGCAGCCTATGGAGAAATGATGACTAAATGTGATGTGGCATCCTGAATGGGATCCTGGAGCAGAAAATGGACAGGAGGCAAAAACTAAGGAAATATGAATAAGCTATTCACTTTAGTTAATAATAATGTGTCCATGTTGGTTCGTTAATAAGTGTAACAAATGTACCATACTAATGTAATGTTAAGAATAGGGAAGACTGAGTGTGGAGTATATGCGAACTCTCTGTATTATCTTCTCAATTTCTGTATACATCTAAAGCCATTCTAAAAAATAAAGTTTAAAAAGTGACAGTTAAAAAACAATAACAATACAAACATTACAGAAAACAGTATGGAGGGTCCTCAAAAAATAAGAAACAGAACTATCATATGATCCAGCAATTCCACTTCCAGGTACATATCCAAAAGAATTGAAAGCAGTGTCTTGAAGAGGTATTTGTACACCCGTGTTCATAGCAACCTTATCCACAATAGCCAAGAGGTGGAAACAACCCAAATGTCCACCGACAGATGACTGGATAAACAGAGTGTGGTATATACATACAATGGAATATTATTCAGCCTTAAAAAGGAATGAAATTCTGACACATGCTCCAACATGGATAAACCTCAAGGACATTATGCTAAGTGAAATAAGCCAGTCACAAAAAGACAAATACTATATGATTCTATTCATATGAGGTATCTAAAGTAGCCAAGTTCATAGAAAAAGTTCTGGAGATCTGTTTCACAACAATATAAATATACTTAACACTACTGAACTGTATACTTAAAAATGGTTAAGGCTGTAAATTTTACGTGGTTTTTACCACAATAAAAGAGAATATAAAAGAAATGGTGATTTTCTTGTCATAAACTGTACTCAGGTTAATAAACTAATGGTGCAAAAACAATAACAGTAATAACCAACTGGTTTCTGGTGAAAAAAGATAAAGCTTTGTTTGGAGTGAGACAACTGGGAATGGAACCCTGTAAATACCTGTGAGTGCTTACTTGGCTGGGCTGATGAGAGAATTAAGTCCAGTAAAATAATTACAGTCAGCCCTCCACATCCGTGGGTTCCGCATTTGCAATTCAACCAACTGCAGATTGAAAATATTCAGAAAAAAATATAATAATAACAATACAGCAATAAAAAAGTACAAATAAAAAGCAATATAGTATAACAACTATTTACAAAGCACTTGTATTAGGTATTATAAGTAATCTAGAGATTATTTAAAGAATACAGGAGGTTGTGCATAGGTTATATGCAAATACTTTGGCATTTTATATAAGAGACTTGAGCATCCTCAAGTTTTGGTATCTGTAGGGGTTCTTCGAACCAATCCTCCTTGAATATCAAGGGATGACTGTACTGTATTTCCCAAACTTCCTTGATGGTAAGACTTGTCAAGGGTGTTTGTTAAACACCATTCCAGGGCCCCACCTCCAGAGTACTGAAATTGAATCAGCATCAAAAGACCTGGGAATCTGCATACTTAACAAGAATCTTGTCATCTTGGAAATTTGGGAAACAAATTTCCAGGATGACAAGGCCCCTCAATAAATCATTAAGCATCAATAAGCATTTCTTTCCTAGAGAGGAACTCAGTAAACGTCAGTGCCCATTCCCTTAGATTCCATGGCACCACCTCATCCAGAATCTCCCCATTCAGCACAGGTACATTTCCAGCGCCTTCTTCTTCTCCCCCCATCCTGTGGGTTGTCACTCACTTATTCAACCAAGTGTTACTGGTGTTGACCTTAGCTAGAGGTCGGGATCTGGGGACACAGATGCCTGAGATAAGTCTCTGCCCTAAACATATGAGCAGAAATAACTTTAACGAAAGAGTAAATGAGCATATGAAAATATGCTGTACTTCTATTTCCAGCAATATGGAAGACTAGATATTCTGACACCCTCCTGCTACAAAGCCTCTCAAAATATTGAAAATAGTAAACATTGATATATGTCTGAGCTGGTAAGAAAGTTAAGGAAATGCTCTAAAATGCTCAGAGATGATCGAGCCCCAACTCCAAGGTCTTCCCTGTGGTTATCTCCAACTCAGAGTGACCTAGAACTTTTATCTAAAAGGGAATAGGACTGGGGGGCCAAGCCCGTCGCGCACTCAGGAGAGTGCGGCGCTGGGAGCACAGCAGCGCTCCCACGGCGGGTTCGGATCCTATATAGGGATGACCAGTGCACTCACTGGCTGAGCGCGGTGCAGGCCGGTCTCAAAAAAGGACAAGAAAAAAAAAAAAAGGGAATGGGACTGGGGAGTGAGACTAGAAGATAAATCCTAGGCCACTCACAATGTAGGATGTCAGATCAGAGACTATAAAGGGGTAAATTAGAAAAAAATTTGCCACTCAAAGATGACTGCTGTAGAAACTTGCTATCTCATTTCTTAGTTCTGGGTGGAAAAA